AGAAGACTGACCCGACAACAGACTGAGAGTTTTCAGTTCTGATCAGACTCTAGTGTTGAGATGTCTGTCTGTCATGATAGCGTGAACTGAGTCGGGGTCAGTACCAGATAAACACATGTAACTATGGTAACAACCATTAGCTTACGTTAGCACAGATGAAAGTTCAAACCAAGACTGTTTATCAAACTGTTAAAGCTCACAAACCATCGTCAGATGAGAAATCCGATGCTATGACTCTCCACAAGTCGTCCTTCAGGTCGTTATCTTTGTAATATTTGTGTCTTTGATCAAAAATCACTCTGTTCTCCGACACGGAAACAATCAGCCGGTCGGCCATGTTGGATATACCGGTGAATCTGACGTCACAACAACACAGAATCTGATTGGTCAGAAGTGGACACACAGTATATGAAACTTTAGAAAAATCAACGTGATCTGAAAAAATAAATGTCGCAATATCACAGGACGGGGAAACATCGCTGATGTGAACGTTTGTGTTGACAGGATACGGGTTCGAAAAAAATATTGACATCCGAAATAAATAAAAAAAAAAAACACTCCCAGTGTGTAAAGACCTTTAAGTGTCTTTATCCTTTAATTTCTCTTTGTGTGTCTGTATTCATGCTGCTGTAACTTTGGAATTTCCCCTGTGGGACTAACAAAGGTACATCTTATCTTAAATTAGACTTGTTCTGGATGTTTTATGACCTTACACGATTAAAATCTAGTGTAAAACTTTCAGAGACTTTAAGGATTCTTTCATTAATGTTCATTTTAAAGGTAGCTTAAACTTTTCTATATAATCTTAAATGATCTGAATTCTGCTGTATTCAGTTTTGGGTTTGCTGTGCATCATAAAAAGTGGGTCTTTCTGGTCTTAGCTACACTCTTTGGTCCTTATTGGTCCAAATATATTTACCAAAAAACACTCAAAAACTAGCCGTGTAAATCCTCACCATGATTCAGTCCAGGAGATTACACGTTTACATTTACAGTGTGTTCAGGGTTTGAGTGGGCACATGTAATTCAGGGACGGTAAAGGTCCGCTTGGCTGTTGAGGATGACTCAGTTCAGGCTCCTTTTATCAGTGTTCATCGAGTCTTTCTGAAAGAGCTCATCTGTCTTATCAGGTGTGATTTAACCCCGTCATTATTTGATCTCTGACCTTTCTGGTGTCCGTTGTTGAAAAGCGAAGACTCATGGTGAGATTTCGGTCCAGTTAGAATCCAAACTCCACACCTCGCAGAGGTTGAATGACTGTCGGGTCTTAAATGAGTCATGTTGTCTGCATGTCTCCTGCATACAGGATAAAAGACAGACCTCACTTATTGAAGCCCATAGGGCAAGCGAGCGCTGTGTTCCCATTTCCTGCTCCGGCCTTAAAGCCCGGCACTGAGCGGAAACGGACATAAAGATTCACGACTTTGTAGCAGAGAGCAGAGCGCTCGGTTTACAGCAGAGGTAACAGTCTGGATATGTGAATGGATGTGCTGTTAGATTAACATGTGACTCAGTGTGTGAACGTCTGCTGACTACATCATCTTTTTTTCTCCTTTAAAGTCCATAAACCTTTTTTTCTTTTATTCAGACTTTGAGTTTTTTACTCTGAAGATTTGAGTCTGAGTGAAAGTAAAGCTGCAGCCTCAGGTTCATCAGGGCCTGTAGACCTGTGGGGAGGTTTCACTTTGTGGTCCAGGTTTGGTTTTCTGTGTAAAAAAAAACAAAGTCTTACTGTTGATCAGCTGATCGACCAACACTGAGATCAGCAGAGTGAATTAACTCCAGAAATAACAAAAGACTTTAGAATAAATGAACGTAACCTTGATGGCATTATCCACTTATTTATGAAGTTTTGAGGCCTATCAGCCAAACAAATTACACTCTCATACTGGGGAATTCTTAGTGGGCACTTTGGGTACTGCACTTTTTTATCACTTCTGTGTAAAATCTCAAAGCTTATCTCTTCAAAAGATGTTAGAGGACCGATGGAACATTTGTGCATCTGTTTTGGGAATGTGATCTTCGAAAAAGTTTCTGGAAATCATTTCATTCCTTCACACAATCAGTTTTGGAAATTGAATCCGATCTCAAACTCAGCTTTTATCTTTTAAATGATAAATCGGATCTTTAGTTGAACTGGAAAAAATGCAGGATATTAATTATATTATTTTATTTTGATAAAAAATTCATACTTTTTCTTTGGAAAGATGATTTCCCACCAACTTTCAAGCTCTTCCAGGATTAAATGTCAGAGTTTTTACCACTGAAAAAATTAACTTCAGGAAAAAACAATTGTGGTTTTATCTTTTAGGATTTTTGGTCTCCATTATTTTTTAAATTGGAGAATTTCTTTAAGAGAGACCAGTGACTATTTGTAACTTAGTATGTATGCACTTGTATGTATGCATGTGTATGAATATGTTCATATATAAAGCCTATATGTATACACATTTGGATAGAGTTTATTAGAGTTCATTGATATAATTGTTGCTGTCTTTTTTTTTTAATTCATTTATTTACTTTTCTCATTTTGTTGCTCTTTAATGTACTTGAATGATTCTGTACTCTATTCTTATATAGAGATATATTTATATATATTATTATTTCTTTATGTTCTGTATCCCTAGGGATTGATGGGGAGAGAAGGAAATTATGTGGTTAAAAAAATAAAAATAAAACACAATAAAAAAAAAACAGACTTCTTTTTTTTTGTTTTCATATCGACGTGAAATAGAAAAGATGTTTAAAAATAATCAAAGTTATTGATTTTCTGTAAACAAAGGCCAGTGTGAGCATCACTGAAACCTACATATAATAATGCGGCTAATGGGGAACGAAGCTAACGGCTAGCTGTGTAGAAAGTAACACCCATAAAAGGAGCATTTTTGAGCTGAGTAGCGCTGAATTGAGGGTTTTTACAGATGGCGGTAGATAAAGATAAATAAGTAGTTTTATGAGCTGGAGATCATGCAGAGCTACTCTACAGGTCTCAGAGTGTCATACCGAAAGGTACCAACAAAGATAGTTTGGTCTTCTTTGAGGTATTTGTCTAAATGTCACGGCTGCCTCCTCCAGAGTGAAGATGTCTGCAGATGATATGGTGAGTTAAAGTGCAAACCTTTAGGTGCCACTGAAGTGTTTTTATACCGCTACTGAAGAGATCAGATAAGATGGTCTTTCTGAATCACATATTAAACTACCACTGAAGAGAATGAACCACACTGAGCCACAGGTTTAGATTAGAGCAGTGAACATTTATATCATAATTTACACTTTTTGACATTTTTGCACATAAATAAGTATGTAAACCAGAATGTAAACAGAGACAGTCCTTTAGGAGATTCTCCTCTGGAGTTAAAGCTCTGATCAGAGAGGAAAAAAAGGAGAGACGCTTTGGTCGAACATTAGTTAAAGAGAGAGATAATGACACAGAGGAGAGACAGACTCAGAGTTCAGGCTGTTGATGTGCAACTGCTGCAGAAAGTCACAGTTGCTTTCGTGACATTAAGCCAAGTCTTAATGCCTTCATGACCAGTTTTTGTTTCTTTCCAACACAGTGTAAATGGTGCAAGCATCGGCACTGAAGTTATAAAGTAGGATAAGGGGGGCCAGTGCATAAAAGAAGGCCGAGGTGCTTTGGTTGAGCCAGTTCGTTTTCAAGATGGCGGACGGGTGGGGTTGGAGAAGGGGGCTTTGCTTCTCAACCAAAAAGATATGAACAAGAAAAAAAAACATCTACAAAACGAGAGACAACAGCGAAAGAGCAAACACTTCATCATATACACACAGTACTTCTTCCCTTCTTCAGCATTTTGATTCCTCAAGTCCTTCTTCCCTTGTTTTGATTTTCCTTTCCTCTTTTTTTGGTGCGACAGAAATTAAAGCCAAGTGAACTTTGGTTTCTAGCGTCAAGTGTGAATCCCTAAAATCTGAGGGCTTCACTTCCCTGGTGGATGCTGACAGTGTTGTAGAAAAATAAAACAAAAGGATGAACTAAGGCGGTGGCTAACCAGCCTCCTGAGTCCATTATGTGCTACATGTTGAGCGGGCCGAGCCGCTCCTTTGGACCACATGAAGAGCTGCACTCCAGTTTGGTTTCTTCTTTGTCTTCTTCTTCTTCTTCAAGTAGCGAAACTCAAATAAATAGAAAGCTCCCACATCTCGCTGTCCCTTTTGACACTCACGCAAACAAACACACATTCATCCAGCCACAAACACACTGAGGTAACCGTTGTGAAAAATATACAAAAATGCCCTTTTTTCTTGTTTCATTTAAATTAAGTAGGCATTCGAGAAGGACACGGACGTACTTTAGGGAAGCTAACAAGCAGGGCTGAAATAAAGCTCTTGTTGCTGAATTATCAAATTTATGCGCCATACTTTTGGCAAATTCTTCAACCTGCTTTCACTGGTATTTTAATTTAAATAGATAAAACCCTGAAAAGTGGACCCCCCCTCGACCCTATAGGTCAGAGGTCACAGGACGGATATAGGCATAGAGTGTGTCATTAACAGAGAGATGGTCAAAAAAAGAAAAAAACATCAGAATTTAAACGTCTTTTACGCTGATTCTACCCCGTCAGTGTAACCATCTCTTCCACTTATTGCTTGTGAAGACGACAAATAAAAAGTATAATAAATTAAGGAGGTTATACAACAACTAATTGATCAAAAAACAAACAAAAGCATTTGAAAATAGAGACCAAATAATTCAACAACAATAATGATAATAGCATTATATTAATTACATCGAAGGTAAGTCCGGGGTACATGATTGTCTTTTAGTTAAACGGATGGTGAAACTGCTAAGTAGTCATGGGACAGTGTCTCTTGAGCCCTGAGTACGTGAGTCCCTGATAGGTTCAAAACCTGGAGTTCTCATGATGTCACTCCTGATGACAGCCAGGTAGCGAAGTAACTATTTACAACTGTTGCCCTTGGCAACGCAGTCCATCTTGAGCGCTGAAGTCTTGACTCTTTGTCTCTGGGTTGGAGGTCACTTAAGCATGATCCTCGGACTCCTGCTTGATGGTGACGTTGGCAGGAAGTGGATGAACAGGGCTGCTGCGTCGCATCTTGATGACTGACGTCTCATTTGGGGACTCGTACACCCCGTAACCTGAGGACAGAAGCTCAGTCGGGCCTGTCTTGTGGTGGGGGTGAAAGTTGGAAGACTTCATATCAGACTCCCTCCACAGCATCCCCAAGATCTGCTTCTCCAGCATGGCCTCCACCTCGACCCCTCCTTGGAGCTGCTCCAAGCGCTCGGCATGCTCGCTGATGTCAAAGCGCTCAATCTCCTCGTTGGCGCGCTGCACCTCCTCCAGGGCAGCCTGACTGGAAACTGCCGGGCTGCCAGATCCAGAGCTAGCGGCCAGGCAGTAGCCCTTCAGGTGGAGACGCAGGCTGCACAGGTGGATGTAGTGGCGGTGACAGTGGGGGCATTTGTGAGGACGCTCACGGGAGTGCAGGCGCTTGTGCAGCTTAAGGTGGACATATTGGGTGAACTTCGCCGGGCAGAGTTTGCAGTGATAGGGTTTCTCTCCCGAGTGGAGGCGCAGGTGAGTTTTCAGGTTGCTGGTGCTGCTGAAGCGCTTGTGACAAACCTGTTAGAGCAGAGAGAAGACGTGTCAGCAAACTGTAGACACTCAATTTACGTTTGGTCTAAACTCAGTCATCAAGGATTTGAAGTTTGTTTCTCACCTGGCATTCATGTGGCTTCTCTCCTGTGTGAACCAGGAAGTGCTTCTGCAGGTGAGCCAGCTGGGTGAAGCCTTTGTTGCAGGTCTGACACTTGAAAGGCCTTTCTCCACTGTGCACACGAAGATGAACCTGAGCAGAGAGAGAAAACCGTTTAGACACCAGCTACATTCTGATATCGGGTAACTTCCTCTGCGTCATATTTCCTTCACGCCTGAGCCTCACCTTCAGGTTGGACAGCTGTCCAAAGGTCTTGCTGCATATGTTGCACTCGTACTTGATCTTGCCGTTCTGCTTCTTCAGCGGGTACGGCAGTGCCTTGTAGCCGGCTGAGCCAATGCCGCGCTTTGCTTTGCTCAGGTTGATGGCCTCCTCGTCGTTAGCGTCACCCATCAGGGCTGAGGTAGGCTTGGTCGGCACTCGCTCATTGGGGGGTGCTGTGCCTGCAGTCGGGGAGCCGCTGGAGGGCGCATGGGAAGGTCCGTGATGATGGGGGTGTCCTGGGTAAGGGTGATGAGGCCCTGCTTTGTCCTTCAGAGACGTGGCAGCTGAGAAGGCACTGGTGGGCCCAGGGAGGAGGAAGTCTCTGTGGGAGGAGATGGAGGAAGGGTGGACTTGGTCTGGTAACAGGAAGGGCCTCCCTGCTGTGTCAGAGGGCAGGAGGGGCACATGAGGGGGCAGAAGGCTGCTGTAGAGAGGGTACATCCTGGGAAAGATCCCCCCAACGGTGGGGACACCACCACCTGGCAGAGGGTAGTGATGGGGCAGGAGGTAGCGTGAGTAGGGGGCCCCTGGAGGGTAGAAGGTGGAGGAGAGCGGGGCGGATGGTGGAGAGTATCCGGGGTAAGAACCCAGTCTTGGAGGGTAAAAAGACGCTGGAGATGGACCAGAGGGGCTCCCATGAGGGCTGCTCTCTGGGCTGCTCCTTGCTGATGGACTGGGTGTTGCTGAAGACTGGTTGCCAGGGGAACGAGTAGCCGGGTACCCGATCTGACCAGGCTTGTGGCCGAGGAAGTCTTCAGGGATGTGAGGATGGGGCCTCAGAGCTGGGTAGAGGGCACGAGGGTACAGGGGGCGCTCAGGGCTGTCGGCACACCTGGGCCGTGTTGGGAGCGGTCGACTGGGCTCCCTCTTTGTGGACGGGGAAGAGGAGGTGCCCCGCAGGATGGAGAGGACGCTGTGCTCTCTCTTTGGTGGGTTGGGTGTCGCTGCAACTGAAGTTGGGCTGGAGGCTTGGACTGAACGCTCCTCACTGGTCACCTGCTGCTGCTTGACCTCCAAGAGGGACTGCTCTGAAATGACAAGAGGAGATCAAACAGGTCAGTCAGTGCTACTGTAGATGCCAACAGACCACCAGCAAACACAATGTTTGCAGGACTTCTACAACTAGGATAAAGTGACATAGTCCAAAAATGTCAGAATGTTGACTACGCAGACATAAGAGAACACAGCGATACCGGGATATACCTATATGTCATCAATAACTAATAACTATTGACTGATATTAAAAGCTTTTTTGTATGAACACCTTAAAAAAAGATGCTTCTCTAACGGATTCCTGATGAACAAAACACTCAAAAGTCTGCAGAGATAACCAGAGTGTGTGTGTGTGTGTGTGTGTCACAGGGGGGTTAAGGAAAACCATAAGTAACTCAGTGGACCAATTAAGGTGACAGACTTGATGAACGAGCGGTGGGGGGGGGGGGGCAGAGGACTGGAAGTGAGGCGTGACAGCTGCCTTTGGGCATTGTGTGTCTATAAAATCAAGATAAAATCAAAATGGTGGCAGGGCTGATGGAAGGTTTCCTGCTGGAGAAACCCGCCGAAGACGCTTGGCCTCCACCTGCCCTCCCCCCGAGTGACAAACACACACACACACACACACACACACAACACACACACACACACACGGACAGACGGGGGCGCCTGCGGACAAAGGCCTCTGTCTGAGTTGTTGACTCTTCCACTTTCAGCGGACACACACTTTTGATCAAACTCCTTCTCCGCTGATTTTTCTAACCGTTTGCTATTGTTCCCAGGTCAGAGGTCACGCTAAAGAGCTTCCTCCTCAGTCACTCGCACCTTCTGTGGACTTTAGCATGATGAAAGAGCGGATTAGGAGGAGAGCTCGCATGCACACGCTCTAAAAGCCCCGGGTAGCCGGTTGGCGGGACATCTCGGCTGTTAAGCGGCTGCAGAGCGGCCCCTTAAAAAGCTGCTGCAGAGCGGCCCCTTAAAAAGCTGCTGTCTATTATGGAGGAGCTCATTTACTGCCCAGTCAACGTTTTACCACGAGGTCGCCCAGAGGGGAGTGTGTGTGTGTGAGAGATGGTGCCTGTCAGAGTTAATCCGGAGCGCCAGCACTGATGAAATTGTTCAACTCACACACACACACACACACACACACACACAGTGACCCTTGCATCAGTAGTATAGCGGCAGAGTGTAAACATTGAGGTTATCAGCCAGCCTTCCTCCTCCTCCCCCTTTTTTCCAGAAAACAAACAGGGCGGCCATCTTGGAGATATCAATCTGTCAACACGGCCCTTCTGCCAGGAAGTTCAAGTAGTCAACAGACGGGGGGTGGGAGGTGTGACTCCTCCAACCTCTGCCACTCCCTCCTCCCCTGCTTTCTCTCTGCTCTTTCAAGTGGCGAATATATCAGAGCAAATGGGCGACACGCTCTCGAGCACGCACATGTGTCTGAGATGAAAAGCCACGGCGTGTCGTGTGAGCGTGTGCAGTGAGAGAGAGAGAGAGCACAGGTGCTCCCGAGCGCTAACACTCGGAGAATGCTAAACGGTGGCGGCAAAAAAAAAAGAAGAGAGAGAGAGAGAGAGGAGAAAGTGAGGGAGGAGTGAGACTGCGATGTCAACACACTCACACGTCTGGTTTTGCTATGACTGCGCTGGAAAGAGAGAAAACATGACAGCGATAAGAGCACACATGTTCGTGGAGAAGATCGTGGTGAATCTTCTTCCTAACTTTGACGCAGATCCATCCAGATACGTCTGATTCGACTGATCGACACGACTCTTTCTCTCAAAGCTCAGATGAGAGAAGATGAAACGCAGATCAAAGCCTGAAAGCTCCGCTGAATAAATCACTTCTTGGTCTCTTTCTCAGGATTCATCACTCGAGCGGCCTCCACCTTTACCTTTTGTTGCCCTCGTAGCTTGGTTTCAGTTTAACGTTACTTCAGTCAGACAGGTTGTGGTTTCTTCTCGGTTTTACTCAGCAGATGAGATTATTTCAGACTGAGCCAAGTCTCCAGTGGCGCCACGCCAACAGTCAAAAAAGGTTTACTCATCCTGGGAGCGAGTACGTAATATACAAAGCTGAAAAATGAGCCGAAGCTCGTCTCAGAGCAGGAGTGGGATGTAGAAAAGGAGGTTTACTCAGTTTTGATCTTTTTAATACTTCGAAAGCTCGAGTAACTTTAACTTGAAGGGTTTAAATTCATGGTTAGGGTATCTACCAGTATATAAAACACCTAAAACTAGTCCCACTTTATGCAGCTTAAAGATATATTCTGAATTAAGAGCATTACTCTAATTTAATGTCTGTTTTTAAAGTATTTATTTAACTAAATTTAAGTCTGTTTATTAGCTTTAAATGTGCCGCTTTGTAACCCTGCATTTGCACATGCAGCCCTGCACAGGTGAGTCTTTCTGCAGCAGGTAAATGTCACTGGCAGGTCAACAGCAGCCTGTAGGGCTAAATGACAGAGGAAGCTAATTAAAGACAACACACACATATACTGTATACACACACACTCAGGCTTCAGAGGAGGGGGCTGTGGGTCCCTCCTGCCTCTGTCCCCCAGGTCATGCGCATTTTTCCCTGGGCAGTGGAGTCGCCCAGGCTGGGTCTGCTGGTTCCTCTGCCACCTTAACACTGCTATTAGCCTGGAGACACACCTGGAAACCCCTCGGCTCCCACTCTCTCTCTCTCTCTCTCTCTCTCTTTCACTCTTTGTTTCTCTCTCTCTCTTTGATCAGCGTGGAGGACGTGTTTGCATGACCGAAAATACGAAACAGAAAATCAAGTTTTCTCTCAGCGATGGTTTTCAAGATTCGACCTAAAAAAGTTTTGATTTTCTCTCAGGACTCGTAACTGTTTCCTCATAAAAAGGTCGCAGACAACACACACACACACACACACACACACACACACACACACACACACACACACACACACACTGTCTCTGCTCCTTTTATTGAGGTTGAGCAGAGTTGTGTGTGTTTGTGTGTTAGCTTTCATGTTAAAAGCGGGTCTTTAAGAGTGTAAGACTGTGGCATTAGGGGCCATATCCCCCACTGTCTGTGTAATTACACTGTCACTGACACACACACACACACACACACACACACACAGACAAATACAGCGATGGCACTGACAGAGATGAAAGGTTGTCGGTCTTGTACTCTTGTGTTTTTGTGTGTTTTTGTGTGTGTGTGTGTGAGATAATGACAGGCTAACGTTCAGAGAGGAAGGAGACACGGCTACACTCAGAGACACTGTCAGGGTTTAAGAGCGGCGACAGGACACACTTTAGACACACACACACACACACACACACACACAAACACACACGATGATCCTAACGCGGTCAAACTTCAAATCTATTTCCCGACCGTCACGTTTCTTCCTCTGAATTTATAAAAACCTCAAACTTACTGAGTTTCTGCATCATCAGCTCTCCTGAAGGCGGGTAGTTCAGTCGTCCGGCGAAGTCGTGGCAGTACCAGACCAGCAGCTCAGCGCCGGCGGGGACGGGTTTCACCGTGTAGAAGTAAATCTCCATGCCATTCTGACACGCCGCCAGATTCTGCTCCGCCGCCGAGTGAGCCGGGTTCACGTACCGCATCCAGTTAGAGCGAGTCTCATCCAGGCCGTCGACGAAGTGGTGGAACTCGTCATCAACGTAGATCTAAAGTAAAGAGAGTAAAAGATTGAGGATTTGAGATGTTTGATCAGACCTAGTCTAAAGCTGATTACAGTTTGATCAGACCTAGTCAACACAAACCAAAGTTTCTCTCAGGGACAGAATCAACACAAACTTATTCTAGCTCAACTAAGACAAGATATCCTTCATTTTCAGGTGATTACTCACTAATTCATGCACACTTTGATACCTGTGTCATTTCTGCCGAGTCTGTTCTACTAAATAATGAAAAAATACTCCACACTCTACCTTTAATGAAACTAAAACACTGTTTTTTAATAATAAAATGCAAAATAGTTGTTATTCAAAGTTAGTTTTAGTTCAATCCTTTCTTTTCTGTTTTCCTAAAGCTCCTGTGAGGAATCTTTGGTGCCCCCTGTGGACAAAACCTGTCTTAACAAGTCTCTTGAATAATCTCTTTTAACAGTCATGGTATCACATTTGAAATCCCCGTCAGTTTTTGTCACACCTTTAGTTCCACTCTTTAAAAATAACCACAAAAAAACGTCCTTCCTCTTTATGATGGTCTCATTTTTTTCCCTATGTTCAACAACCAGCTAAAAACTCCTCACTGGAGCTTTAATGTTCTCCATGTAAAAGAGCTGAAAACTGAGATTACAAAGTGAATCAGCTGCAAACTCATACAGACAATAACTTCATAAACTCGGTGACTGAACCGAAGACAAAAACTGTAAAGAAGTGAAAACAGCTCAGAAGACAGCAGGTAAAAATGAGACAGATTTGAAGAGAAATAATTGAGTTACTGGTTAAAAATGCTTTTTAAAAAGTTGCTCATGAGCTGTTTTTAAATATTTTTACCAACTTAAAGTCACCCGATGATAAAGAAAGGAAAATTACGAGAAACTCACCAAATTTAAAGTCAAAAAGAAACTGAGTGACAGCGATCAGAGTGGAAACCAGCAAAACCAGTTCAGATAAAAACGACTCAAACTAAAACGTCTCTGTCTATTCCTCCGTCATCCCTCCATCTTTTCATCCCTCATCGTGTCCCCGCTCTCACTTCATCTTCACCTTCATCTCAACAACTGACGAAGAGGAGGAGGTCCTCTTTTTTAGTGAGGAAGAAAAAGAGCAGACTCATTTCTCTCTCTCTCTCTTTCAATCTCTAACCTGAGTGTGTGTGTGTGTGTGTGTGTGTGTGTGTGTGTGTGAAAGTGAGAGAGATACGCTTGAGAACACCTTTCTGACTTGACAGTCATCTTGTGGTCGACTTTTTCTCTCTCACACACACACACACTCTCCTGGGTGGAGGCGTTGGTGAAGTAGGTGGATTGTGAGCGTGTGTGTGTGTGTGTGTGTGTGTGTGTGTGTGTGTGTGTGTGTGTGTGTGTGTGTGTGTGTGTGTGTGAGTGCACTCTCGCTGTTAGTTACTGGTAGTGATGGTGTGTGTTCTGCAGAATGGTTTTTGTGTGTGTGTGTTACAGGAACCACAGAGCGACATGTTATTTGTGCGGGGATGACATCACATCCCCCTCTCTCTATCTCGCTCTCTCTCGCTCGCTCGCTCACACACACACACACACACACACACACACACATATGTAAAAAAATACATCCAGCCCGTTCGGTTTCCTGTTCCACTGACTGACTTTAAAAGTGTGTGGCGTCACAGGAAGGGGTCCCTCCGGCTTCTGAGGAAGTGCGTGCGCGCTGCCGTGCGAGAGCGTGTTTGTGTACTCACCCTCCAGAAGTACTTGCGGTTGGCGTCTTTGGGGACGCTGTCGGCCGTGTAGATCTCGCCCACCAGGGGACCGAAGCGAGTTCCTTTGGGGATGTACTCCCTGCTGCAGACGCCGACCACCTGCACCAAGACACGCACACACACACGGGGCGGTGAGACAAAAGCTGGAAGGAGCTTTGAAGTGGAGCGTTGTGTAAGAGTCGTCTTGGACCAAAAGGTCAAACTTTATAGATTCATGGTCACCTGGTTTGGTGACTATTGGTGGATTATAACATCTTATATCACATAAATGCAACATTTCTCATCCAGCTCCTGAACGTGTGTCTTTATTTATAATTAAATAAAACTGATTTGAACTTTGGCAGCTGCAGAATCCCACTTACTTATACATATAATTATATTTAATGTGCTTAAAATCAGTACAACTAATACTTCAAAGTTATATTTCTCAAAGAACTTTCAATACATAGAGAAGTGTTTTTCTTAATTCTCCTTAAAAGCCCTAAAAATTGACTTTCAAATACAGTTAAGTTTGCAGCAAACACTTCAGGATCTATTCGGACTCTCCACATTCATACTTTCAAGGTTTTGATATTCTAAAGCAGTGTGCAAAGGCAATAAAAGTGCATGTATTTTTAGAGGAAAGACCTTGAAATGATCGTTATTGTTATTATTTATTATATATTAAAGATGGGTTATATGAGGTGTTTGCAACAGGAAGTGAGCTAGCTTTAGCATCATTAGAGATGATTAGGAACTTTTAAAATCGGACATTTAAGAGATTAATTAATAATGTTAAAGCTTGAGTGTCTTAAAGGTTATTAATCAACGTAACATTTATGCTTTCTAACCATCTTTTTAACCATTTTAACTCAGTAACTCGACTAGAAGTAACATTTTTCAAAATAAAAGCATGAAAAATCAAATTTTTTTGCAGGTAAGATCTGCTATGATAATCATATGTGAAAATCTGGTTTAGTAACAACCCTTACTTGAACTTAAAGTAAAAAATACTAAAGTATAAGAGCCTGAAACTTGATTTAACTTCTGAAAATTGAAGGAAATTTGCAAAACAAAATCTATAACTTTAATTCATGAGCTACAAAATACGATTTTGCAAAATAGGCTCATTTTTCTTTGATTTTAAATCTTAAATTAACTGATTAAATGAAAATGCAAAACCACATTTTGATTTAAAAGTTTAAAGATCTGAAGAACTACGATAAGTTAATGAGCACAGGGGTTTGTGTGTCTTCATGCTGCTGTGCACATCCATAGGTTAAATGTGTCATTAAGTCTAATTAAGTCTTATTGTGTGTGTGTGTGCACATACAGACTCTCAGACACACACTGTACCAACCAGCTGTCAGCGCTGAGACCATGATTAATGAAGAGCAGTCACGCTTTGCTGCGTTTGGAGAGTGTGTGTGTGTGTGTGTGTGTGTGTGTGTGTACACATGTTTGTATGCATGTGAGTGTGGTTTGAAGAAAAACCTGCAGAATCTCTCCTTTCAAATCTCTCTGTGTCGTTACACCTCCACTCTTCACCACATCAAACCCAACCTGCTGCCACTTCACACGCTGCGGGGGAAACATTGAGAAACTCGAGAGGAAAAAAATGATCTCTTTCTCCTTTTTATTGTCTGAGAGAAAACGCAGGAGGAGGAGGAGATTATGTGGCGACTAGACTTCGCATCAGACTCGTGCAGAAGCAACACAAACAGACGTGTCTCTCAAACCCCTGGTGACATGGGAAATCCCCGTTTTCCCTTTTTCCAACAGAAGTGTGTGTCTGTGCGTGTGTGTGCAGAGCGCTCGGACTTATTAACAGACTTTTACAATGCCAAAACTCTGCCGCTTTGATCGCAGCACCCCGGCCTTTCCCTTCTTCCTCTCTCTAGATAAATATTATCAGCTCGTCGTCGACTCTTTTCTTCTCTCTCCTCGGCTTCCTGTTGATAAGCTCCTGATGAAGAAATCTTTAAGATCACGCTGCATTGAGTTTACAGACTTGCAAAAGGTGTCTAAAGTGGCGGTCACGACCTTTTAAAGTCATGCACTTTTGCAGCAGATTAACCTGCATGTCTCATAAATAATCCTCTCGTTTTTTAATACTGATATATTATTATTAGACCTCGCTCCTGCAAACCAACTTTTTCAAACATTTCCAGAGCGTTGTTTTGGTTTTGTGTAACACCTCTCTGTTATCTGACCTCAGTTTCAACCTTTGATGATTTGACTTTTTGATTCCTTCACCTTCCAGTTCGATCAATAACTCAAACTTCGTCCTTTCAGGTTTGTTTGAGGTCTCACATGATCAGTGTTTGGCGTGTTGGGAAAGACTAACTGAGGAAATGTGATGTGCAAAAGTCTCTCAGCCTGATAACACAAACTTGGGATCACATGTAACTTCCAAAAGTTGGCAATTTAAAAAAAAACTCTTTAATGCGGTAAAAGTTCAGCTTAGAGAACAAAAGTTGAACATGTTAGCGTAGATTTGCTAAAAGGAGAATCTGAGCGATCAAATTTTGCGGATAAATCACAAAAAAAGCAGGTAAATTCGGCTAAATGGCGAAGTTTGATGTGTTGAGGTGTTGCACGGTGCCCCCTGCCAGGAAAAAGTGGTACTGCAGCTAGTTGAGTGAGAAAGCAAAAGAAGTGATGTGTTTTTGTTTCTGATTTTCATGTCTTTACGTCAGCATGATCTAAACTTGGATGACCAGTTTATCATCTTTAATTCTCAGTGTTAGTCTTCCTTTCTTTGTCTTCTTGTTTTAAATCAATTGTACCTTAAATATGATCGTGTTTTGTCTTTTATGTTTAGGTTTCTGTTGTTTAACTGCTTTTCTAAGTACCTTGTTTATGTTTTATAGTCTTAAATATGACCTAAAGTTATTATAAACTCATCCAGATTTAATATTCACACCCACAGACTTGATTTAAAGTTGTTATTTTTAGATAATGATCCAGTTTTCATGATGATATGAACCGCTCAGTTTAAGTTACAGTGTGAGTGCGTACATTTTGCTCCAGGCGTGTCACACACTCACACAGATTCCTCTCTGTAATGTGTGTGCGTGGAGTTTTTTATGGCGAGACACGACCCCCTCTTCATTACATGACCCACGCCTGACTCACGCTAACAGACGGCTTTCCCTGCCCCACTGTGTGAAAAACTGTGTCTGGAGAGAAAGTTTGTACGTCTGCCAGCTGCAGTGTGTGTCTGTGTGTGAGTTAATGTGTGTGTATCTGTGTGAGTCTGACCTCTTTGCCGTCAGCCGGGTGTTTAAACGCCAAGTTTCTGGGCAGAGACGCCTCAGCTCTGGTCATCGCCGTCGTCGTCATGGCGTCACTGTCTGCATCCTTGACGATGTAGGTGCACTTCTCCTCAAACTCCGCCTCCGTCCAGCGGGTCATGTCCGCCTCCTCCACGTCCATCTCCATGTCCACGTCTGAGTCCGCCTGCGTCGTCTCGCCGCCGTCTGAGCCGGATACTGTGGTGGCGGTGGACGCCATCTTCGCCTCTTGTCTGGTGTCGTCCTGCTCCATGGTGTGCGCCCCCTCACTGGTCAACATGGCCGAGCTATGAGAGGTCGCCTGGTGGGGAGAGAAAAAAAAAAACAGATTTAAAATTTTTGTGATTTATTTTTTTTTTAATTTAAAATGGAACTTAACTTTTGTGTTCATTTATTTTTTCTTAAAACTTTTTAAAATGGAACTTAAAAGAATATAAAATGATTTGTAATGTGAAAAAAACAAATAAAGAAGGACAAAAAGAGACAAGAAAGGCAGAAAGAAAGACGGAAAAAATGAAGCAAAAAGGAGGAAAAGAAAAAGAAAAAAAAAGGACAGAGGGATAGAGGAAAAAAGAAACAAGAAAAAAAAGAAAGAAAGAAAAAAAAGAATAAAGAGGAGGTAGAGGAGAGAAAAGTGCAGAAAGAAAGGAAGGAATCACAATAAAAGAGAAAAAGTGAAGGAAATAAAATAAAATAAAAGAGTGGAAAGAAAGAAATACCAGAGAGAGAGAGAGAGAGAGATGGGGTGGAGGAAAGAAGAAAAAAAGGTAGAAAAGATAAAGAAGTAAAGAAAAAATACACAAAAGAAAGAAGGAAAGAGAGAGAGAGAGAGAGAGGTGTGGGAGAAAAAGAGATAAAGAAAAAAGAAAAGGATGATTGGGGCAAACAGACGGAGAGATGAAGGGATGAAGAGTGAGAGGAAGAGATGTGATTATGATGTGGGTTGACTCAGGGAGAAGGGGGGGTCTGACTAACACTGCTGTCACACACACACACACGCACGCGCGCACACGCACACACACGCACACACACACACAGACGGGAAACACTCTCCTGAACTATTTACTGAAAACGATTATTTGATCGTTTCTTATTCAGATTATTTAAAAATCACTAAAATGAGTTTCGGCTGTAAAAAGTTTTATTTGGTGAAACTCGTTTTTTTACAGCGTTTGTTTGTTTTTCTGTAAATATTTATTTTCTCCAGATGTTTTAATTTCTCAATGATCTGTTTTTCTTTAAAAACCACAAAGTTAACGTCAAACAACAAAAAGGAACTTTAAAAGCTCTTAATGATGATCAGATTAAACCTTCAGATAAATTCAGTCCTTTATTAGATTTCCTTTTTTTGGTTCTCACGGTGCTCATTTTTATTACTTTTTACATGTTCTAAAACAGCTGACGTAAAAATATATTTTAAATACAGACAAAAATTCAGTTTTTATCAAGTTTGAGTGAGTTTTTCTGCAGGTTTTTCCTCCATTTTCTCAGCAAAACTCACTTGGACAAATTTCTATAAATTATTATGTTAAGAAAAGAGGAAAAAGATGGACAAATGTCGGTCAGAGTCGGTTTTTCTGCAGGTTTTAGCTAAAATAAGACAAACTTTGACATTTCTTTGACAGTTTTTTTTCTTGTTTTTTTTGTCTTGGCCCAGAAAAACAGCGAAATCAGGCAGTTGTTGGTGTCTACTGTGAGAACGATTTTAACAATGAGTCGGATTCACGTCGATTCTGATCCCACAGACCCCCCCCCCGCCCGCGTCTCTTCCTGGGGTTGAAGACGGAGGAAGGAAACGCTGTCTGTGTCTGAATGAAGCTAAAATTGGAAGCAGAGTGGCACTGCAGCGGAACCGGCAAATCATCCCCACTCCCAGCCTGTGTGTGTGTGTGTGTGCATGGATTTATGTCTGTGTGTATAAGTGTGTGTAAGTGTTGGTGTGTGTGTGTGTGGTAATGAAGGGGGGGCTGAGATGAGGAAGGGAGCGCCAAAACTTTTCCATTTGGGGGGCCACAGCAGCAGCAGCACAAACAAAACTTCAAACGCGATCCCACCCAAGTCACACACACACACACTTCCCCACACACACACACACTCTCTCACACACACACACACACAGAGGCAGCAGCAGATATCCACAGAGGGACAAACAAGCTGCTCGTCCCACGCAGCAGATCCTCATGAGCACACTCAGCTCTGTGGATTCTTCTTCTGCAGCCGCAAGAAGGAAAATTAATTCCCATCAAACCAGCTCCAAACAGCTGACGGCCTCTCCTCCACAGATAAACACGAATGAAAGTCACTTTTTTGGAGCCATTTGCAGAAATAAAAAGTGACTTTTACACTTTGTCCCATTCAGAAACCAAAAACGCTGAATTCAGGAGTCCAAGATCCTCAATTTTACCACTTTTGAGCTCTTAGAAGTCAAAGAAATGATTTTCATGCTCTTAAATTTCTTGAAAATGCTTCACAAATTATTAAAATATTCATACAACCTGAACTTTTTTGCTTCAACTAAAGCTCGCATTCAAATCTGAACAAAAACAAATCATTTAACTTACAGAAAAATCCAGCAAAATCTACAAAACCTTCCATTCGGATGATAAACCTGCAAAACTACCTGCATAAAAACATCATTTCTCATCTTTCCAAACAAGCTGAAGGCCAGTTTCTCCTCTATCTGCCTCCTAAATTAATCTTTTTTAAAAGAACTAATCACTTCTGGAGACGTTTCCCAAAATTTCAGCTCTTAGCAAGAACTCCTTTTTGCATAACAGCTGCAGCGCTGAAACTAAGAGTGAAACCAAAAACCAAGAAACAATTCACTTCTGTCATATTTAGACTAACTGAAATCACAAAAGCTGAGTCTGCAGAGCTGAGGCTGACAACATTTGAATGAAAATGCGTTTTTATGAAAGTCCAGTCAAGATGAAACTTTGTGGTTGCGTGACAAAAAAGGTGCAAGAAGAGGAGGAGAGGACAATCTGTCACATCAGGTAGAGTTTGGAGACACATTTCTCACAAAAAGGAACATTTTTTAATCTCTATGTTGAGTCAAAATTACATTTTTAAGTCTTACAGTTTGCATTTAAATCTGAAATGTCTAACTGAGGAGGTTTAATCACTCCTGAAATAACAAAAAGGAGAAATTTTCCAAAAGACTTAAGTTTAAAAGGTTGCGCAAAATCAATCCAAAACGCACCAGGAGACACCAGAGACGCTGCAGCAACAACTCTTCAAAGTTAAAATAAATCATGTTAGTTCAAAATAAAACACTTCTAAACTTTTTCACAATTTCTGTGAAAATTAAAGTTTGAATGTTGCGTTTATAGAAGATTTAAAAATCGTGTTTGGATTCTAATTTGGATTCTAGAGGCAAAAACTTCCTCCAGTGATTTTTTAAAGTTATTTTCAGTCAGAATCCTCCAGAGTCAGACGCTCCAAGGTGGTCAAAAACGACAAAAACAGGTCAAAATGTGCGTAAATGTGCGTAAATGTCGTCTCCAAAGTCCTCCAGGTGTTGTTTTCTTCTTCTTGGGTTTAAAAACAGCTCAGAGTTGTGTGTAAAGTCGTCTCCGTACTCACCGTGTAACTTTGGTCCCATCCACACATAGGGACGTCCGGTCAGATCCTCCGTCTATGAGCCTCTGAGGAGTCCGCCTGAGCGCGTGCAGGACAGGTGCACGTCCGTTCCTCCCCGCGCGGATGGTGGTGGTACTCCACACCGGTGTCACTCCGTCTGTCTGTCTGTCTGTGCGTGTAAATGTGCGTGTCACGGTGTGTGTCTGTGTTCGTGTGTGTGACCTGCTCCGTATCCTGTCTGCAAATGTCTGAGTGAAGAAGAAGCTCGCGGACTAAGTTGGAGCTCGAGGGCCGCCTCTAACCACGCCCCTCCCAAAATCCATACCCCCCTGCTGGCCACGCCCCTTTTGTTCACACGCTTTCACCTGAGGCAGCGACACACACACAAACACACACACACACACACACACACACACACACACACACTGAAGCATAAAAAGTTTTTTCAATGATTGTGATCAAATGTGTGTGTTTGTGTGTAGATGTGTGTGTGTGTGCATGGAGGAAATGTCTGTTGGCAGCTTCAAACGGGTAAACAACATGTGTGTGTGTTAGTGTGTGTGTGTGTGTGTGTGTTAGTGTGTGTGTGTGTTAGTGTGTGTGTGTGGGGGGGGGGGTTGAGGGGGAAGGGGGGGTATTGAGTCACTGTCACAGGATGTCCCCTCTTCCTCAGGAAAACACTCAATACCACACACACACACACACACACACACACACACACACACACAGACACACGCACACGCACACAGTTACACTCGGCCTGTAGGGGGCAGGACTGGTCTGCCCTGACTTCTTTATCTAAGGAGTTAAGAGACCGTCTCTCTCTCTCTCTCTCCTCTTATTGTCAGTGTCTCTCTCCCTCATTACCCTCTCTCTCTGTTTCTCTTCCTCTCTTGGACTTTCTCTCTCTCTCTCTCTCTCTCTCTCTCTCTCTTTTGTCGATGTCTTAATCTTGTTTTTCTTTTTGTTGTTATTTTGCCTTGTGCGTTTGTTTTGAGTCTCACCTCCATGAGCGAGATTTCTCCTTTTTAACACATCTATCTATCTATCTATCTATCTATCTATCTATCTATCTATCTATCTATCTATCTATCTATCTATCTATTTATCTATCTATCTATCCAAATAAGTTTCTCCTCTTCCTCCTCCTCCATTTCTCCTCTTTAATTTTTCTATACCTGAACCTGAGTGAACAGAAATCAGTTTAATAGATGCTGCATTAAATAACTCACAGCTCTCTCTCTCTCTCTTACTCTCCCTCGCTCGCTCACTAACACTGGAAATTCCCGTCTAATTGTCCCCCAGACTCCCTTAATTTACCTCCCACTCGCTCGCCTCCCCCTCTCTCCTCCTTCTCTTTGATTTCGGCGCTCTATTTACAAAAATGATTTTCCACGCTGACCTCTCTCGCTCCACTTTTTCCATCACTTTTCTCTCCAGTCACAAAACTCATTAAAGCAAAGTGCAACAAAAAGCTGACTCCGAAATAAAACGGCAAAGATGCAGAATAAATGATATGAAAACTGAATTTATCTTTTTTTTTACAGCTTTTGTAACTCCGTCCTCGTCAGGTTTGGACACTTTCACTCACAGTTTGCATCACACAGTTTTTCGTGAGAACTCGGAAAAACTTTTACTCTTGGGAAATCAGTCGCTTCTCTTTCCTGTGAGTGAAAACAGGTTGAAAAACAAAAGTGAAACGTGATTTTAAAAAGTTCGGGTTCAACAAAAAAAGCTGAAATCATTCCAGACCGACTCTACTTTAAAATGATCCTTAAAATACATTTACTGTTAAATATCTGCCTAATTTTTCTCATTACAGATGAAGTTTCTTGTCAAAATTACTCTGATTTCTTTATTTTTAAGGGTTTAGGTAGCTGGAATGTACGGTGACCCTAAAGGTCAAATGCACAAACATTTCTTGACTACAACAAATCTTTTTTGCATTAAACAAAATGCAGAAACATTAAATAAAACAACAAATATTTCACAAAACAAAATCTAACAATGACATGCTTTGAGGGCCACAGTTTTTATTTTCTTTGCATAATTTTCAAAAGTAAAGAAAAAAACAGGAAATCAATAACAAAGTAAAATGAAAAAAGAAACAAAACACAACAAAGTAAAACATGGCAAAAAACAAAAACAAAGTATGACGAAAAAAATAAAACAAAACCAAAGAAACAAAAAAAAAAAAAACTTAAATGAAAACAAAAAAATAAAGAACAAAACAAAAATGAAACAAAGCAAAATAAAAAAAAAACCATAGAAAACAATTTTTTAAAAACAAAACCAAATATATCAACTAAAACATAAACAAAAACAAAGTAAAACATAACAAAAAACGTAGTTTTTCCCCAACAGCAAATGAGTTTAGATGCAAAAATATTAAATAAAACTAAAAAAAAAAAGAAAAAAAAATACTTAAAATATTAATCAATAGGTTGCAAGATCATTCATGGAATCCTAAAATTAATGCCATTTAAAAATCTTTGCAGACGAAAAAAAAAAAATTACTAAATGCAAAACTTTTTAATTAAAGGTGGAAATTCTGAAAACAAAAAGAAACAAAAAAAAAATTAATGAAACCCAAAAACATTAGAAAAACCAGAAAATATGTTTCAACAATTTAAAAAAAAATTAGATTTTTTTTTGTGTCCAGCATTTTCAGGAAAAAAATCCTGAAAAAAACCCGTTTGAACTTTTTTGTCCTTTTTTTTTGGCGTCGACTGAGTCTGTGCTCGTGATGTCATCCTTCGCCACATCGACGGTCATCTGCAGGAGTCTGCGCCTGATTGTGTTTTTTTTCTTTCTCTAATGAAGAACGATGATCAGGAAAAAAAACAAGCAACAGGAAGGAGAGAAAGAGAGAGAGAGAGAGAGAGAGAGAGAGAGAGAGAGAGAGAGAGAGAGAGAGAGAGACAGGACCTCCTCCCCTCCCTCTCTTTCTCCTTTTGGTGACAGAGGGTCTGACCACATCACTCGCTGCCTACTGCTTCCTGCCAACGGACGACCCTGACACACACACACACACACACACACACACACACACACACACACACACACACACACACACACAGATGCAGATCTGTCTCCCAGCTGTCGGACATGTTGATGCTCTGCGACCAAAAGATTCTCGCTGCAAAACAACCAGACACACACACATACACACACACACACACACACACACACACAAACACGCTAACACACACACACTAACACACACACAAAGAGTCACTTTTAAAAAGGACAACACATTTTCAGAGGACAGTGTGGCCTGACACACACAGACACACACTATTGGCGTCATGTCCACTCAGTTTTTCCTCCACGCTCGCTCGGACGTTTTGTCGCCTCACCTTGTGTCCATGTGCTAACAGTTGCAGTTCCCTGAGTGTCCACTTGAGGCTGACTGCAGAGTCACAGGTAAGCACATACACACAGACACAGACACAGACACACACACACACACACACACGGACACACACTATTGGCGCCATGTCCACTCAGTTTTTCCAGCGTTTTCCTCCGTACTCTGATGTTTCCGCCTCACCTTGCGTCCATGTGCTAACAGCTGCAGTTCCCTGAGTGTCCACTTGGGGCTGACTGCAGAGTCACAGGTAAGCACATACACACTCAGCTAAAGAGGCCTGTTTGTGGAGCAGGCCTTCACCCGTGCACACACACTGAAATAACCAAACATGAAAGTGTGTATTTTACAGAACAATCATGTTTCCCCCTAAATTTAGAAATCAGTGCGACTCTTTGTGATTGTTTGGAAACACAAACACACACTCATGGAGATGACTGTGTTTGCCATTCACCAAACCAAATCCAGGCCAATTCAGGTTTCCCTCTCTCTCTCTCCTTGAAGCTTGTGGCTGCGGGGTATCTTCAGCAGGAGGGGGTGTGTGTGTGTCTCCACACAAACAGCTCTGAAGTCACATTAAAAAGTGTCTTTTTGTTTCTGCGGTGGCCCTGCATGCATGCCTGCAGGAGCCAGAGAGGAGAGACAAAAGAGGGCCCAGAGACCACCTGGGTCTGTGTTAGTTTAACAGAGGGCCTCTATCACACACACACATGCATGCATATGAGAGCGCACGGCTCACACACACACTCTTCACAGACATAAACTCTCCGCTCAGTGACTGCAGGAGCGACAGCAACAATCTGTAAGTCAGAGAAAATGAAGGGAGGAGAGAGGAGAGAGGAGAGAGGAGACTTCTCAAACTTTAAAACAAGAGAAAGTTACTGAAGTCAGAGGTGGAAATCTGATCAAACAAACACAGACATATTTCTGCTCTCCAGGTTTGAGCTTTTTTACCCCGCTGCACAGATTGGAGGTCCAGAAGTGAGGTCCAAAGATCTCCAGCAACACTTGCTGTCCAAGAAAACAGCATGTGGTCTCCATCAGGGTCGACGAAGGCCACAAACTGAAACGCATCGGTCGAATAAAGCTGTTTACCTGAACTACAAGTGTTGCTGGAGCTCTTTTGACCTCTTCAAGACCTTTTTCTTCAAGAAGTTGGTGAAGTTGCCCTCTAAATTTTGAACTTTTGTCCTCTATTTCAGTGCAGAGGTGAGACCAGGTCGCTGTGCTGGTATCAGAGGTAGAAACAGGCAGTATGTTAGACACTTAAGTCCAGCTACTCATTTGGTGATTTAACTAGTTAACTTTGATTTAACCACTGCAGTACAGTTTTGCACCAAATCAGCCGTCAAATGTGACAGCTTTGTCCTTTTTACGTCTTTACTTCGCTAATTTATGTCGTTAAACTTCTAGATCAAAAAATCTATGTGCGAACTCTCAGGCTGGTCAAATGCAGGTATGTTAGTCCAACTACGAGAAGTTTGATTTTGTGCAATAACAGTCGGTCTATTTAGGACAGGAATCCTACCTGCGATACATGGAACGTGGTTTTGTGCATCTATGCCCTCTCTTTTCTCACATTTCTTGTTTTTTCTCAAACTGTCTTTCAGAATCAAAAAGCATCAATCATCCTGAGACAGCGGTAGACGTCTCAGCTCAACTGAGATGATGTCTGAGCTCACTTTTGATGCTGTTGTTGACTCTAAGACGTGCCCGGCTATTTTCATAAACAGACATTTCACCCTCTCCGTTTAAAAAAAAAACTGCGTGCACACCACTACATTTTCAGAAAAGTTTTCATTTACACTAACCCGTGTATATACACCGTCAAGAGCAAATCAAACCTGCAGGTGGCAGTGTAGCCAGAAGCTCAAGCCCATGTTAGCCAATCAGAATCCCACAGAGCACAATCTGCTGTCGGCTACCTGAATCTCAGTTTTTCTATGTTTACATTCAAACGTGCAAACTGAGTTTTCCACAATCTCCACTCTGGTCGGAGTTTTTAAAAAGTGTCGTTTTCAGGGGCGAATTCTCCGTTTCGTCTAAACGAAGGGTGCAAACGATGGTTAATGTCTCTGTTTTTAAACATATACCTGGTACGTATAAATAAGGCCTAAATGTGCGTTAAAGGTGTTTTTGCAGGATTTGCCGTCACCGCTTTAATTATAATGAAGATGTTATTATGACCGTCTGTTTACATCATGCGTTTCCCTGCTGTGAGCTGCTGGAACCAAACCCTTGACCCGTCTGCATTCTTCTCTCTGTACGTTTTGTTCTCGGCTCTCTCCTGAATTACAGATCTGGATCTCAGCGAGACGACCTGCTTAGATAACAGATAACAGGTTACGTGTTGGTGTCTCCTGATGTGACATACGCTGAGGTGTGTTGTACTTCTTTGTGTGGACTGAGGGGTAGGGCCGCTTCTTTAAAGTCAACAATCAGTATGAACCACCGAATAACACAGAAGACAGAGTCGTGAACTGACCCAGATCTCATTTATAAAGAGGATTTGACCTGGACCTGAATCAGGATTTCTTTAATGTTTGTATTAAAACCAGAGCAGCAAATATTTATTCTACAAATCATGAAATTCAGCTGTTCTGTTTTCACTCTGATCGGTACGAAAGGCCGTCTCTGTGCACCTGAGAGGATCAGCTCAGGAGTCTGGATGCATTAAAGACAAATAACCAGAGCGGAGGAGTTTTTCAGGCTCACTGAAGACGACATGGATGCTCATACGAATCAATCAATCAATCAATCAATCAATCAATCAATCAATCAATCAATCAATCAATCAATCAATCAATCACTCAATCAAAATCTTATTTATATAGTGCCAATTCACAACAGTCGTAGAGCAGGTCTAGACCACGCTCACGTTTGATGAATTATCAAGACCCAACCCAAGATGGGACAGATTTGACTCATCTCTTCTAACATGAGTGACCGTGGTGAGGAACAACCTCCGTTTGACAGGCTGAAACCTTGGGAAGGACCAGACTCATGTTACCCCCGATTTCCACAGCATCCTGAATGGCTACAACAAGGCTGTATCCTCCGATCGTAGCTGATCGGAACCTTCTTTCCGTTCCGCTGTGGTACATCGAACTCCACAGCTGATCGCAAGAGTTCTATTCTTTCTGGATGCCGGAGCATGGCGGATAAATTCAGCACAGATTAATGGAAAGGAAGACTTCTTTTCAAAAAAACACTCCGTGTTTCAGGAGGATCGTATTTCACACCATGCAAACGGGCGGAGACGAACAAGTGAAAGGTTTTTAGACGTCATTTCACCCCGATGACACCGTGGATGAGGAGATGCTGATTCTAGAAGTCTAGAAGTAGATTTCCTCCTCTGGAAGGACACAATCTACTGCTTATATGGTTAGCTTACGCCGCCAAAGACAACTTGTTATCGTGCGATTGCAAGTGAATCTGCGGGTTCTTGTGCGATCTCTCTGTCGCGATTACTGCTGTCTGTTATCCGCCACGACATTCATCACAAATGGATCCGGTAGGAATTGGCGGATGGCGAAAATCTGACGCCGTTCCGCATCTGCCATTCTGGGGTTAGACAGCCACCAAGCCGCTGCTTGGTCGGGGAGAAATACAGAGAGATCGGAAATGGACTTGTCTGATTCTTCGGTGCAACAACAATTTGTCCGAAATGTAGATATAACTCAACGGAAAAATACTGCTGAAGTGAGGAACAGCAGGATGTCAACAAACTCAAACCAAATCCGACTCTTTTCGGGGAAGAACGTCTGCAGGATGACTAACTTCGCTGTGAATTTTGGGGAAAATTTAAGGAGGTGACACGATCAAGAAACATGCAGTATCTGTGAGAAAGCCCTGATAAGACGATCACACCAAGACACAGAGAGAGAGAGAGAGAGAGAGAGAGAGAGAGAGTTCATCCAGATCAAGCTTCCCTGAGTGTTAAACTCTTTCCTCTCCTCCTCCTCCTCCTCTTTTTCTCCCCCCTCACTCCTCTCCTGTCCTCCCCTGAGTCCCAAACATTTTAATTGCGGCCCACAGGCCATTTGATGCCTCGCCAAATCACTGTGAAGAGATCAGCTATTGTCCATTTCCTTTGTGTGTCTGAGTGTGTGTGTGTGTGTGTGTGTGAGAGAAAGAGTGTGACGATCTGTTACCAAATGACGGTTACACTGTGGGTCAGCGCACGGTGGACCCACTGAATGTGTGTGTGTGTGTGTGTGTGTGTGTGGACTTAGAGAGTTAATCCCTGAATAGAGAACCCATTAGAGAGAATTAGGTGGGTTAGAGCCGACCATGATCCCCTCTCTCTGCTTCTGTGTCCGAGTGTGTGTGTGTGTGTGTGTGTGTGTGCAGGACAGCCGTGAACGCGTGGCATGCGCCCGGGTCGAGGCCCCTCGAAAGAAGGGGAAGGAGGTGCATCAGGGGAGGAGGAGGAGGAGGAGGAGGAAGGGGGTTGAAGTAGCCAACTCTCCTAATCTTGCCAATCCACCCCTGCTGTGAACACACACACACACACACACACACACACACACACACACACACACACACACACACCCACACACACACACACGCTCAGGAGTGGAGTGGGTTCATCCTGACACTCTCTCAACAGATGGCTGCAGCAGAGAGGCCGAGGGTAAACTTCAGCAAAACCCAAACCAGACAGTCCAGACCCCGTTAACCCCCCACAAGAGTCTACAGCTAATCACAGAGTCTACAACACGCAACCAAACACACTCTTTATTATGAGGTAGCATACACACACACACACACACACACACACACACTTACATAACTTGACAAATATGCCTCCGTATTCGAAGCATCTATCACCTTATTTCTCGTTGCACTTTGGGGACAAAAGCAAAAGTTAGAGCGAAGACTGTAGCTGTCATCATTTTTAATTCATATAATTAATCAGCTGTATGATCGCCGACGATAACTCGCCAATGCTAATACCCGGCGCATGCACTCCGCTGTGCACCACATGTATGTATACTGATCATCGACTGTATGGATAACTTGATTCCTCTTTCCGTCATCATACGGATTTAAAGCTGAAAAGTTCTCGGTATTTCCACATTTTTTTCTCCATTTCCTGAAACCAACATTGCTCAGCAGCGTTGTTCGCATTCAGTGGGAGTGTCGCTGAGATGACGCTTGGCCCAAACAACATATCCCCGAGGTGAGCTACTCAATCAACATCACAACCAGGGGGGAGAAACATTTATATTCTGTGTAATGAATTTATAAAGTTTGTCCACAGCTCCATGAGGAGGCGGATTTATGACCTATACTGCAGCCCGTCACCAGAGGGTGCTGTTTTCGCATTGGCTTCACCCAGCGAGGAGGCAGACGGCGTCCGTTCTATATACAGTCTATGATTCTGATGTCATGAGTCTGAAGTTTAGCCACATAAGAAAAAAACTCTTTTTGAAGGTGTTGCGGCTTTTGTTTAGCCATGGCGGTAAATTTTATAGAAGACTATATCCTCGCTCGCTGTAGAAGCCCGCTTGGCGATGTGCCAGCAACAGTCCCATTAAAGGCATTAATCGTACATGAAAAGTAAATCACATGCAAGATCATTTCAATTATCGTTATTTGCTTTCATGTTTTTTTCTTTTGCTGAAAGTTTTGATATTTAAATCGCCTGACACTTCCTGACCACCGTATGTATCCTGTGGCTAACATGATAAATAAATCGTCTCTCTGAAGGTTTTGAGTCTCAAAAATAATCTGATATGATGAGTCTTGGTGCAATTTCAGGTTGCGATTCAAAGCATGCAGAAAAGAGACAAGAGGTCGTAGGTCATGCAAATGATGCAAGTAAGGATTGTGCAAAATATTTACAAACATCTGCAATCCATGCTTTGCGTATTTCCTGTATTTGTTAAGGTCATTACACACCGGGATGAATTTGCTTTGTTAATAATTCCCATTTTTTCAAACCTCATAAAGTCGATGTAAGCTTCTGTACCTGCTACGAACTTCCTCAGAGTGAAAAAGCTACTTATTTTTTTGCACCTGTAGCAAATTTTGCAAAAAATTTGCAAGCAAACTTTTATATAAATTTGCAGCCTATTATAAATCTTACCTGGCATATTTTTATGTGAATATGTGAATTTTATTTGCATCACACCAGGTGTTTATAGGGAAAAGGCGTAAACCGAATTTTTCCCGACGCTTCACTAATTCGCTGGTGTGTAACGACCTTAAGAGTTGAAAAAAAAAACACTTCTGGAGTGAATTGGTGCGCACACACCATTCAGATGTTCAAGTTCACGAGAGAATGAAGCAGGTAAATAATTTGATTCCCATGCAGCCCGAGCAGAAGAGAAGAAGAGGCCATAGGTTTGGCGAAAACAGCATCTATTCTGGTGAATTCAAGGAGGAGACGAACCAAACCCACCAGAAAACTTTCCATCGACTCTTAAACGCTCAAACACAAAAAAAAGAAAAACAACTTTAAAAGCTTTTTTTGTCTTTTATTTTGTTCTTTTTTTCCAGTTTAAGTGCTGAACATTGCGGTCATGTGAGTCTGCTTCACTGCTGCGTGCGTCACTTCCAGCCAACAATGAGCGTCAGTCCTGAGAGGAGTCGAAGAAACTTTCGACAAAACAAAAATAAATCAACTTTTATAAAGCACTTAGCAAAGTCAGGGGGGGGAAAAAAAGAGACCCAGAGGCTTCCCGCACTCGCTCTCAGGTAGCCATTAAAAACTTCAGGACATAAACATGTTCCAGCAATATTCCAGTAAACAGCGGAAACTGGGATGAGTCACCACATGCAGCAGCAGCAGGGAGATAACACACACACACACGCACACACACACACATGCCTGATGTCACGTTACCCCCTGTCCTGGTAGATTCCTTTATAACAAGCCGGAGGACAAACCGCTGTGGTGCAACAATCACACTGAAGACTCACAGTGTGTCTGTGGTTAGAAGAATATCTCATTAATAGTGACTCTGCTCTTTGTTTGTGTCACTTTAACGTTTCGACCTGCAGGTCTCCTCTTTTATTTTTAACGTGCACACAAAACAACATCATTGTCTTCAATCCTTTCCCTGCATTATCTTCAATTCTGAAGGTGTGTGCAGACTAAACTGAAACTAACATGCTTCACTTGGCTCTATATCTCAAACAAATACAAAGATGCATCAAAAAAGCAATGCGACAGGAATCCTGCAAATTTGCATCACACACATATTCATGGGGTGACCATATTCTGAGTCCCCAAAGAGAGGACACGACTACATGGGGCGGAGTTATGTGCGCGTGCAAAATTTTGAGGGTTTTTTTTGGGTTGGGTCGGTTTTTACGCGCTACTCTAAATTCCAAAAAATTTAAAAAAAAAAAGTGGACATTTTGTCTCATCCTTTTTTCTTCACTGGTGGAAACGTGCTTCCATATGAAATCCCGGACATTTAAGGATTTTATAAACTCATTGCGGACAAGGCCGGACAGCCCCCCAAAAGAGGACATGCCTGGGGAAAAGAGGACGTATGACCGTGAGCCCAAAACTCCTGAAAATATATAAAAAATTTTCTGGGTGAGCTGCATATTTGAATGCAAAACTTGCAGTTTTTCAAGCCTGACTTTGCAGGGACTTTTCCTCGCCACACATGCAAGCTAGATTATCGCTTCAAGTCGTGGTGAGCAGTCGTGTGGAAATGCAGCATGAATATTTACAGCAGGTGACCGTGCAGGAGTCGTCTGGACACTCCAGCATGCTCTCATTTGTCCTTTTGCGGCTGTTTAATGATGCCCACTTATCTGAGAACAATGATGCATTCTTACTGATTCTTTCCAACTGAAGTATTGTTGATGAAGTTTATGCATGGAGGTAAAACAGCAATATATCAGGTTTAGAAAATGCAACCAGAGTCGAGGAAAGAGAATTATTTTAAGATGTTTGCGTTTTGATACTGATGTAAAAGTGTCTGTTGCAGCGAACTGAAAATCATCTCAACATGAAAAGATAAAAAAAAGATCCTTATGCCACTTTCTATTCATATATCTATTTTTTAAAAACATTTCTTTATTGTTTTTTGTATTCAAACAACAACATCCAACAATCTAAACATACGGCAGTAATGAAAATAAAAATGAAGATATAAAATTAATTAAATGTCCTGATAAAATAGATCATTAAAAAAGACAAATAAAACCAACAAATTGATTCAGATATCTTCTGACGTTACTCTGATTTTCTGAGGACATCTTTATCGTTCATCAGACTGTATTCAGGTGTTTTTTTTTTTTTTTTTTGTTGATTTGTACTTAAGTTAGTTGGACACCCGCAGAGATGTGTGTGTGTGTGCTTGTGTGTGTGTGCGTGCTCTCTTTAATGAAAACAAACTCCCAATACACAAAGGTCTCCTCTGTTATCAGTTTAATGTCATGGTAATTGTCCTCACACCTCTGATATTAACAGTCCAATTAACACTTTCACTAATGTGATCACCCTGAGTCATCCCACGCATACGTACACAAACGCTTAAAGGTTTCTGTGAGTGTGAAGGCCGCTCCTGTAGATCCGCCCCCGGTCAGGTTTGTCCCTCACGCAGATCTGAGAAGTCCAAACAGACACACTCTTTAGTTTAATGAAGCAGAATGAAGTGAAACAATGGCCGCCGTTTGCAGAAAGTGGGTCACTGCAGACTCGAGTACGCTCAACTGACAAAAACGGGGCAGCTCAACCTGAATGTGTGTACTTAGACTACAGAGCACTGTACCGTACAGGACTCTGTGTCCCTCCTCGGACTCTTGGGTCCCTGATGTCGGTTTGATGAAAACACTGATTGGATCAGAGTCTGCAGCAGCTCAGCGCACTCAGCTGTGACCGTCTTAATTACATCTGCTCTTTAATTGTTCCTGAACCCACAATGTTCATCTATATGTGTGTGTGTGTCTCTGTGTGTGAGTGTGTGTGTGTCCTGATTGAGTGACCGGTCATTAGGGGGTTAAATAGGGTCTGTTGTCCCGGTCCTCTGCTGATTAAGCTGGACTGGTCAGGGCTGGTGGGCACCTGCCATGAGCAGCCTCAGCCTCATCCATCACCCGCTGACCTGGCCGCATCCTGGCCCCTGGACACCGCAGAGGCCCTCAGGCTCCTCCAGGCCAGGAACTGACCACTACCATTACCCCCCCGGACCTGGAGCCAAGATGACCCTCAGCGGCCCCCCTCTCCTCTTTAACCCCAGCTCCAACCCCGCGCTCTGACCCTCCAAGATGACCACCACCATAACCCAAGTCGCTCTCGGGGTCCTTCTTGAAATGCTGACCAAGTGTCCTCTAAGACTCTGGCTCCAACCAGACTCGGTCCTGACCCACCTCTAGATGCCCCTTCACCTCATCACCTCAGGTCCCAAATCTAACCCTGCAAGCTTACCGCCACCGAGGTTACCGAAGACGTAGACGTGCAATCCAATCCAATATTTATGAAGCACATTTAAAAACAACAAACGCTGACCAAAGTGCTGTACAGTAAAAATTAAAAACAATAAAAACAGAAAATTAAATTATTTCAAAATCGAAATAATCGCACGAAAAAAATGCTCCCGGTGTGTAAGGAGCTTTACTCTTATTTAATTTCAGAAAATGGAGAACCATCCAGGTTTTAATGTCCCTCAGACAGTCCAACAGTGGGCCCAAGGTGTTGGACGCTTCTAATTTCAGGGGTAAATACAGCTGTGAATCGTCAGCATAGAAATGAAAATAAATGTTATATTTTTAAATATAGATCCCAGGAGGAGCACATATAAGGAGAAAAGGACTGGGCCAAGTATGGAGCCTTGGGGCGCTCCACATGGAAGAGGATCTGAGGAGGAGGTGGCATCGCCAAGGCTGACAGAGGAGCTCAGGATCCACAGTGTCAAAAGCTGCAGAACAGCTGAATCCCCAGAATCAATGAGCAATCAAATATCATTGAAGACCTTTAAAAGTGCTGTGCTGTAAAACCAGATTGCAAGACAAACAGAGAAGGTTAAAAATAAAGATTTGTAAATACCGACTCCACCAAACCAGACAAAACAACCTCCAGACTCCCACCTCACCCTTTTTTTCTGTAATACCGTCAGCCTCAAAAGGAAAAATCAATAAAAAATAATCAGCGGCCCTGTGTCCTTCACCGCCTCAAGCTGTCGGCTGTAAATCAGAACCAGATTAATAACTTCATTAATAACAAAACCTCTAAATTAAACCCACTCCGTTCGCTTGTTCGTTGTGTAATTAGGTCAGAAGACGTCGGGGGGTCCAGTCTAGAAGAAAACCCAACGAGAGGTGAAAGTCCTGCTGTTGTGACACAGACTGGACGTCACAGCGGGACGCTTTTTATCATGACTCAACAAATGAAAACAAAAACAGCTTTAAATGAGGAAAAGTTTGAACTCCTTCCTGTTGAATCGATTGTATAAAATCTCTTTTATGAGTCGGTTTGGGTGTGGATGGATGGAGCTGTTCAGAAGTGTGAGTTATCTGATCATGGGGCCGGGTTTAACTGGTTCATGGTCTATTGAGATCTGATAGGAGATCAGCTCCCTGTCACACACACACACACACACACAGATGCATACATCGCCTGTGATCTCTTATCAGCGTACGGAGAAGCGGCGCTGCAGGTAACACTAACCCAATGACCTGCTGGCCTTGAAAAGTGAAATGGATTTACTGCTTCTCTGTTTTCGACCGTTTCCGCTCACACTGTCGCCGTGGTCAGATTTGATTATTGTGTGTGTGTGTGTGTGTGTGTGTGTGTGTGTGTGTTAAATATTCGACTGCGAGTGTTTGGACGCCCCTCTGACCGTGAGCGTCCTCTGATGGGTCCACATAAACTCTGTCACTCACTCAGAGGCCTCTCTTTATCTCAGGTAGAGTCAGCGCTTTACAAAGACAGGAAAGAGAAAGGAGGTGAAAGACGACGGTGACACACTTTCTGCAACAAAACATGTGTGTGTGTGTGTGTGTGTGTGTGTGTGACCCTGAAGTGGGACACTTCTCAACACAAAGCCATCCGTTCCAGGTGCGTTTGTTTACCTGTATACGTGCTAAACTCCAGTATCACAGGGATATAAGGTGACACCTAAACTCTTACACAACAGAGTGTGTAAAAGGTGTGTGTGTAATACCAAATATACCTGCACACACACTCTCTCTCAGTGCAAACACAGATTTATAAACCGTGTCTTCGGTTCATTACAGTGATGGTCTCTTTATTTGTTTTGACTGAAGGGAAATTGTTTCCTGCAAACATGTTCACTGGCAGAGTCGGTTTCCTGTGAAGAAAGCTCCAGGTTTAGAGGAAGGTCGTGGTTTGGGTTAAATATTTGAAAGTAAAAACATCCTGTCTCATGGTTCCACTTAGAGTTTTTTTTATTTTATTTTTATTATTATTTAACCAAAACCACAGACTTTTCCTAAACTTCACCAAGAGCTCTGAGTCTGAGCGCCCAAACACAACCATAAAACCGAGAGGGAAAACAAACTCTCCATGTTTGACAAATTTGTAACTTTGCAGATTTATTTTAAAACTGTTTTCAGTTTTAAAAAAAAAATCTGCCTCAACTAAGAGAAATAAAACACTTTTTAAACGCATGTTTAAATGTTCCTTTATCTTTCATTTCTTAGCAGTTTTAAATTTTGATCTGTTTAGTTAATGTAATAAAATTTACCTCATGAATTTTACTTTTAGATTAATGATGGACCACTACACCAATCTGGTCCAATACTCTTAGTCTCTGAAACACACACACACACACACATACACACACACACTTATACAATATGAATCTGAGGATACACACATATACACATGTACACACACAATCCAACACACACACACACACTTACACATTATTAATCTGAAGGTAAACACACAAACACAAACAGACACCAATACATCGTAAATCTGACAGACACACACACTTATACATCTGAGGATTAACGCATACACACACACACACACACACACACACATACATGCAGTTATACATTTTAAATCTAAAAGGTACACACACATACACATATACAGAGACACACACACACACACACACTTAAACATCATGAAATTGAAGGTACACACACATACACACATAGAGACACACACAAACACACACACGCACTTAAACATTACTTATTTGAGGGTACACATACATACATATATACACACACACACACACACACACACACACACACACACACACACACGTCCACACTTTTACATTATAAATCTGAAGGTACACACACATACACATATACAGACACACAAGCACACACACACACACAGACACACACAGACACCCACACACACACACACACTTGTACGTGATGAATTTAAAGGAACACACATATTCACATATACAGACACAAACACACACTTTTACATTTTGAATCTGAAGGTACACACACATACACATATATAGACACAAAGGGGGACAACCGCTTTGATACATGACAACTCTGAAGGTACACACAACTTTACATATACAGACACAAACACACACACACTTCTACATTATGAATCTGAAGGTACACACACATACACATACACATACACACACAGACAACCGCTCTGATACATTATGAATCTGAAGGTACACACACGTACACATATATACACACAAAGGGAGACAACAGCTTAGATACATGACGACTCTTAAGGTACACACAACTTCACATATACAGACACGCGCACACACCCACACACACACGCGCACACACACACACACACACATAGGCGGCTGCAGCGCGTGGCTGTTCCTGCAGGATGAAGTTTGGCTTTAGTCTGATTTCTCTGGCAGTTTGCCAAACTAAACACACACACACACACACACACACACATCTAGTCACAGCTTAGCGCCACGCTCAGATAAAGGCTTCCCCCGATTTGGCAGGCTGGTGTGTGTGTGTGTGTGTGTGTGTGTGTGTGTGGACAGGGAGAGTGGATAGAGGACGTTAAGTTTAAGTACAGTCAGACAAGAGAGAGTAAACACTGATAAGTCCCAGCTGTACATGCGTGTGTGTGTGTGTGTGTGTGTTGGGGGGACGTGCACATATGGACACACACATACACACTAAAACACTTCCGAGCCCCCAACCTTTCCATCAAATCCATCGTCCCACACACACTTCCACCACTTTGATGAGGTGAGGGAGTGTGTGTCCTTGTTCAGTGTGTGCATGTGTGTGTGTGTGTGTGTGTGTTAGCGAGCGCCTGATCTGTTTTGTGTAAAGATCAGAAGATTCGGCTCATGGGCACGACGGAAGTCAAAGCCACACAGTTTGAAGAAACCAGAGGAGGAGGAAGAGGAGGAGGAGGAGGATGAAGAGGAGTGTGGGCTGAACGGAGAAAACAGCAACTCTATATGTAAACGAACGATCAGAGACGATCAATCAAATATAATCCAATCAATCAGAGAAAGAATAACATGAGGACTGCAGAGCAGAGTTTTTACCACAGTTTGAGTCTCTTTTTAAATTCTCACAGTGAAGCACTTTAGAGGCTGAATCACCGGGAAAAACAGATTCAATTATTCCTGTAATCCCTCCTCCATCTTCGTGAATATCTGAAAAATTTGGGATTAATTCTTTGGGGGTTTGAGATGATTTTTGCACCTGCTAAATTCTGTGTAACTCAGAGAGCGTGCACAAAAACTCTAACACGCCTCACAAACTGTGCTGCAGAGCAAATAACGCCGCCGTTCACTGGTGTAGTTTGTCTAAGTTAAGTCTTTCCCATGGTGCACCTTTGCAGCAGAGCAGATTTCATGGAGCTGCAAAACTTTGACATTGATGTGCACTTTTTGGTGCAAATAGCAGCAGAAGATTTGCACCTCCAAAACCATGTACTGCCATAAAAAACTAAAACTGACTGATGGACTAAAGGAGATAAAAACAACAGAGGGAGTGAAAAGGGATTAGAGCTGCACGATATATCGTTTAAGCATCGTCATGGCAACGTACGTGTACGTGATAGTCACAATACAGAGCGTTCAATGTTGGAGCCGAATGAACTCGTCTAATTTCAAGGGTAGCTGGTTGAGAGACACTGCATGTCCACAAATCGCCTTCATTCTTTACTCAGTTGCCAATCAGACTACCCTGCCAGCCGTCAATCAAAACCAGAGGAGGAAACCACGCCCCTGCACCGGGAGTGAGTCGCTGGCGCTGCCGGAGTCGAGCCGAGAAATGCAGGCCCACCGAGAATTACTTTGGGAACATTCTTCATCACTGTTTAGCCCCACAAATAAGAACTGTATGGGTTTTAACGTGTACACTCGACTATAAGCGTTTTGCGTAGGTGCATGTAATTCTTGGCGGGCATGCAAAATGAGAAACGAACAAGAGAAAACCATACATCTCTAAGACAGACAGAAGCCATTCTACTAACATTCACAAAAAGAGGGAAGATCAGTGCAGGTCTTCAAGATTTCAGCAGTGAAGCATAACATCAAGTGCTATTTAAAAATGTCTTCTGGTAAAAATTTCTGCATTTTTAATGCATCAGATTTCATATAGCGCTTTATCAGAGACCCTCAAAGCGCTTTACATTGGATACATCATTCATTCGCTCACACAGTCACACTTTGGTGGTGGTGGAAACGTGGCTGCCATTCTGCGCCTACGGCCTCTCCGACCACCACCACACAACACTCACAATCATACACCAGTGGAGGACACACACTGGGAGCAAGGTGGGTTAAGTGTCTTGCCCAAGGACACAACGGACAGACTTGGATTAGGGGGGAATCGAACCGCCAACCTTCCGGTCATTGGACGACCGCTCTACCTCCTGAGCTACTGCCGCCCCATTATTATTGCAGTGTTAGTTTTTTCCAATATCGTGCAGCCTTAAAAGGGGTCTTACTGGATCTGAAGTGGAGACCCTCTGACATCCAAGAGAACCCCCTACAGATTGAAACAGGACCACCAAGTCCCTCGTTTAATGCCACGCATGACTTCCAGAATCCTATCTTTCATTATTTTCTTTGCATTACTCCTTTAAACTCTAAAACAAACTACTGAACTGATTTATAAAAGAAGTAATGACGCTGTCCTGGTGTGAGTTCTTGAAGGAGTCAGAGCACATGTTTCGGTTTGTAAAAGAATCTTTAAAGAGCTAAAATATGTTTAAATTATTTGATTAATGACCAAAAACTTAAAAAACAAAAAAACTCGGTCATCTTTTTTTTTTATTTTGTAAAAAGCTCCGATCTGACGGCGCTCACTGCCGTTCATCACTCACAGTTTTCTTCTGTTTATCTCCGGCGCTCCGGCGTGTTTTTCGGGCTCCATGGCGGTCGGCCTGATGACACACAGCTCTGTCTGGCCTGTGGTTAAAGCTCAAGTGGTCCACAGATCCCCCCTCAACACACACACACACACACACACACACACACACACACACACACACACACACACACAAAGAATACACACTCAGGGATACACAAGTTTGTGCACTCACACACACAGGATGAAAACATGCTGCTCAAGAACAAGCTGAATCACACGTGCACATCCACGCCCACACATGCACGCCCACTCACACACATGCACACACACACACACACACACATACACACACACGTATGCACAAACAGCTGTTTCCAACATGCTGAGGCGGTCTGGAAACCACTTCCTCTCAGCGGCTCCAACACGTTTTATTCATTTACTGTTCGCTCAGAGCAGCAGGCAGCACTTTCACTGCGCACATGCACGCCGTGTGTGCGCACGTCGGCGTTTGAGTGTGTGCGTGTGTGTGTGTGTATGTGTGTGAATGAAAAGAAAGACAGGGATGTGTTTGTGCATGTTTGAGTGAAATTGAGTGTGCAGCCTGTGCGCTTTTTTTATGATGTGTTTGTAAATGTGTGTGTCTGCCAGTGTGTGTGTGTCTGCGAGTGTGTGTGTGTGTGTCAGAGTTTAATCTGATATTGATTGTGATAACGTGTTAAATGTGTGTTAAATTTCTCTCTGAGTGCACACAACAGACACACACTCACACACTCCTTCACGGCGTGGCTGGTGGCCAGAGTCTGCTCGCCTCTGATTGGTCAGAGCTCTGTAAATATTTAGAGGAAGCGGAAGGGTCCATGGTCCGGCCTGTCGCCACGGGAGACAGATCGCTTCTCATCCTTCAGACCCTCCCCAAACACACACACACACAAACACACACACTCTCTCTCCCTCTCTCTCTCTCTCTCACACACACACACACACACAGAGTCTCCGGTCTCTTGGGTGTATCGCCTCGGCCGCCAGGTTGGTCGGATCAATCACACAAACACACACAAACACACACAAACACACACATTTTGGAGGGTAGATATTGGACAAGGTGTTGATATCTCGGCCCCTCCTTCGTTTTCTCTCTCTTCAACCCAAAGATGACCTTTCACCTCACCTCTGTACCTCTCCGGCCAATCAGAGGTCACCTCTCCCTCTCTCACTGGAAGACAGTTGTTCAGTTC